TTCCATAGCCGAGTACGTGAAGTATAGAGCCACGTGACCGAGCTGACGACACAAACACAGATCAAGAGATCACAATCACGTCAAACTAAACCGATGTCTTTGTTTTAGTTTCGTTGAAATAAAGTTAAATAAAATAGAAATATCTGATGAAAAAGAAAAATGTTGCCTTGGCAAATAACCTAAATAAAAATAAATAAATAAAATTAAAGCTAAATAGAAATATTTCAAGAAAACAAATAATAATAATAAAATGACAAAAACACATTACATTACTTAACCTTAAACTAAATTTAAAATAAAAACTATAATTAAAATAATAAAAAAGAAATTATATAATAAAAATTATAAATATTATAATAGTCTATAAATAATAGTAAAATATGTGAAACGTTATTTAAGTATCATTGATATGCTATTTATTTTTAATTAATGTTATTAATATAATATTATAAAAAAAAATTCCTGTATTCATGGTCATTTCAGTTTAGGAATTTTATTGGAATTTTTCTTTAAGTTTTGTTTCAATTGTAATTATTTTAGTACTTCAAATTAAAAAAGAAAATGAGAAATTATGTCTTGCCAACTAGATGAAATAATAAAAATATAATAATTAAAAAGGTTTTAAAATACATTTTATAAAATGGATCGTTCCGGTCCTTGATTCTGATTGGTTGAGCCATGTTCGAAGCTGTAGTAAATTACTCTACGAACATACACCTTTGTTTACTTTTGTCATTTGTACACTTTATTTGCTCTGTTTTATTTTGTGAAACCGTACTACGTACATGGAATAACCGTTTTATAAAAGCAATAATCCGCTTCGCGTCGTGCCTAACAACGCCCCTTAGCTGTTATAAATTCACTGTAAACCACGGCTTCTTGGGGCTTATTGCCTTATTTTAATATATTATTTATTATTTCAGTTCACATTCTGAGGAACTACATTGTTTGGTGGAAGAATACTGTTTTTATTATTTATTATTATTATTTCAGGTAACGAAAATGTTTTATTTTATTGTTTTATTTTTAATAACCCTGGGTATGTGGACGCTAACTATTCCAAGACTATCATTAGAAGTATAAGGGATTTTCCCCGCTAGTTTATCGTCCGCCAGACAAATAACATACATCAAAAGTAATATAAGTAATAAATCAGATCCCAGCACATTATGAAAGTGAAATGTGTTGTGAATGGCATTTCTAAATGGTCTTTAAAATCCATGTGCCTTAAAGAGCTCTTTGCGGATGCGTCCCCTCAGGAAGTCTTTGACAAACTCGGTGTTTTCGGCCTTCTCGTGAACTTCTTTGGTTCCGGCCGCCAACATCTCTGAGAGATCTGTAGGCCTGAAGGGATCAGATGACATTCAGGGTTCGGTAATGAAACAAGCACTGAAACTATTTTAGTATTATTTATATACTAGTATAGTATTTATCAGTGTTTTGAATTAGCTTTTATTTTTATACAATAATATAAATGAGTTATTCATCTAATATTTTGATTTTGATTTATTTGCGCTTTATTTCAATTAACGAAAGCAGTTTCATTAGTTTCTGTTAATAACAGCACTGCACTGAACACAACTCAAGCATGTTCTCAGAGGAAGCGCTCTCGAGTGTCTGGTGTACCTGAGGACGGTGACGCCTCCCTCCTGACACACGACTCCTCCTCCATTAGCTGTGCTCTTCCCGTCAGCAGCATCTTCTGTCCTCATAGCACTCATTCCAGCGGCTTGTGTGGATCTGACCTCTGACTGCTCAAACACATTCACAACAACACGCCAGACACTTTCCTGTTACACACACAGATCACACATCAACACGTCCCTCTGATCTCAAACACATATTTAAACTCATTTATTTAAAAATTTGACTGTTCAACTGGCAAACTCTCTCAATTTCACACACTGGATCAATAATCTAACTATCTATCTATCTATCGTTTTATCTATCTATCTATCTATCTATCTATCTATCTATGGTTTTATCTATCTATGGTTTTTTCTATCTATCATTTTATCTATCTATCTATCTATCTATCTATCTATCTATCTATCTATCTATCTATCCATTTATCATTTTATCTATCTATCTATATATCTATCTATCTATCTATCGTTTTATCTATCTATCTATCTACCATTTAATCTATCTATCTATCTACCGTTTTATCTATCTATCTATCTATCTATCTATCTATCTA